ATGTAATCAATCAGATTTCTATGCATACCATCAGGTGAAATCCATGCATATCCAAAAATTTCTCCAACAGGGTAAAAAGGGAAGCCACAAACTGGGAAAAAAATATTTGGTAATAACATGTCTGATAAGGGACTTATATCTAGAATTTATAGAATACTCAAGCACCACAACCAGATAAACAGCCCAATTGAAAAATGGGTACAGGATATGAATAGATACTTCACTAATGAAGACATTCAGGTGGTAAACAAACACATGAAGAAATGTTAAAAATCCCTAGCTCTAGAGAGATGCAAGCAAAACAACTATGGTATATCATCTAACCCCCCAGTAAGAATAGCAAAATTCAAAAGAACAGCAAACAACAAATGCTGGCAAGATTGTGAAGAAACTGGAACCCTTATTCACTGTTAGAGGAAGTGTAAAATGGTGCAACCACTAGGGAAGGCAGTATGATACTTTCTCAGAAAGCTGGAAATGGAAATGCCATTTGACCCAGAAATTCTACTACTGGGAATATACCCTCAAGAAATCTGAACTGCCATCCAAGCAGATATATGCACATCCATGTTTATTGCTGCTTCGTTCACAAGAGCAAAGAGAAACAACCCAAGTTCTTATCAACAAACGAATGGCTAGAGAAGCTGTGGTATATACACACAATGGAATACTACGCTGCACTGAAAAACAAGGAAATCATGAACTTATGAAATATTATACAAAATTGGTGACCCTGGAGGACATCACGCTGAGTCAAATATCTCGGTCACCAAAGGACAAATAATGCATAATGCCATTGTTGTAAAACAAATTGACATCAGGGTTGGGGGTTGGGGGACTAAGAAAATAGGGGACCGACAATGTACACTGCATTGAAACAGATGACGGAAAGAACTGCTTAAAAGGAATATATGATTAGGTGTTATTTGTATGACAATGGTCCAGAATAAGAGATGCATAGTAAAGTGAATGGGGTGTGGGGGGTGGGGTGTAAAACAATGAAAGGATTTTTTTTCTTTCCAAAGAGAAAAGTGAACTGGGGGGCAGGGAGGAAAATGTGCATCAATCAATGAATGGCAATCCAAAGTCTCTATAAACTTCATTAAAATTTCAATTTAAAAAAAAAGAAAAGGTGGGGAGAGAAGTAATATAATATGATTTAACTTTTGCATGATTGCAATATCACTTTATATATTGTGGATATTTTAAAAATATCACAAATACTGACACCTTTTGATTCCCTGCTACTGCTACTATGGGTAGTGACTGTGTATCCAAACACAATTTAATAGTTGACTATTTCAATCTCTTTTACATCTACTATGATTTACTTAAATTAGTTTATGAGAAACATGCAAACCTTTTGTTTTATGATCAATGAGAACTCAAAGAGACACAACAGTGTATAGTAGATCAGTTCCATAGGGTTTTTAAGGGTATATTCTTTAGAGAAGCCAACTGTCCAATAAAGCTTATGGGTTCGAAACACTGATCTTTAAGTTAATAGCTGGAGGTTACTCACTGCATCACTGGATAGCTATATCCAGTACTGAGAGGTAGTTATCCATACTTTAATCTTAATTAAAGGAGACTATCCATCTTTCTCCTGTAAAGCAGATGATGGATCTAAACCACTGACCTTCAGTTAGCAGCCTAACAATAGCATACCAAACTGTAGACCAACTATATTTATCTCTGTACTGTATTGGTGAATCTCTAATTTTTAAAATACATATTCTAACAAAAATCCATTCACTAAACACATTAGGTAAAAGACTATCAACTCAATAACATATTCATCTCACCTCATCTAAGTCTTGGATATAAACTGGCTTTTCCTCAAGTCCAATTGGCATTGGTTGACTGTAGGGAATTTTTACTTCTTCATAGATTTTGTTATTATCTCTTTGGATACCTTCTGGTAATATCATCTATAAGCATCACAATTGAAAATAAAATAATGAAAAATGAATACTACTGTGTTATAAGGCAAAGAACTACTAATATAGTTACTACTAAAATAAGTTAGCCTAAGCAAAACCAACCAACCAACCAATGATAAACACAGCAAACATTATCAGGTATTTCACATAATCAAAACCAGACCTATTGCTGCTTAGTTCATCCTAAATAAGTAAACTCACAAAATAAGAGTAGAAATGTCCAATATCGTTTCCTAGGCTATAATCGTTATCAGGAGACTGCCATATCTTACTCACACGGTACAAGAGAATTTGAACTGCTGACTTTTGATAAGCTGTCAAGTGCTCAAACACTAGGACTAATTTCTTATATAACACATGAACTAAATATATTTCTGAAGATAAAATGTTCATATAACTAAGAAACACTATATAACATTGTGAAATTAAGCCAAAACAATAATTCAGCAGATAACCCTTAAAACTACAAATTGTACAAATAATGAAAAGGAAAATAGGTATTTACAGGATACCTACTATGAGCTTTATATACACTTCATTATCTCCTCTTCATCAATATTTTCAGTACAATTTAGTAAAGTATAATCAATGAGTATTAGAATCACAATAGAAATAAGGAATATCTTTATTTCTTCAGAATATAAATTGTCCAAAATCATACCTTTGCACCAGCAATGAAAGCTGATGTTTTCATAGCTTCAGCCTGAGAATCATAAACATGGGGATAACGTATTTTCTCCACAGTCATTTCCCTCTGCCTGCTCAGAACTGGAACACTTCTAGCATTCAGAAGTGCCTGTTCTCTAAAAACACAAAAATAATAGGCTAAATGTCCATTAATTTTTAATTTTAAAAAGGAAAATATAGTAAAAGAAATTAAGCTGCATAAAGAAAAAATAAACTGTATAGCAATCTTGAAATTTTCTAGCTATCAAAGATGTGGAGCTCTGGTGGCCTAGTGGCAAGAAGCTGCAACTACAATCCCAGAGGTGCACGGTTCGAATCCACCAGATGCTCTGCCGGGGAAGGAGGGGCACTCTCCTCCTGTACCAGTCAGATCTGATTTGACGGTACACGCACACAAAAATAATAAAAAAAAAAAAAAAAAAAAAAAAAAAAAAAAAAAAAGGAAAGTATTTTAGATAACACAATCCAGTATGTTTGATTTGATGTTCTTGGTAATTTCGCTTTCCACAATGCAAAGACATTTAACAACATATTTAAATGAGTTTCAGTGTTTTAAAGAGCCAAATGCAATCATGTCTTTCCTATTTACCCCTTTTCTATTTATAGATAACATGTCCAAAAAGCATTTATTAAATTAGAAAAGAAACAAAAATCCCAACAATGTTGAAGAAACTTCTTAAATCTTAACCTAGTGGTAAACTCATAAAATCTAAGTATACCTTGCTTTCATCATTTCAATCTCTCACTGACGTGGATGCAACTAAGAATATTCTAATTAAGCTGATCACTGCTTTCTTATCCCAGAAAATTGGGTTTTCATACAACAATATTATATTCTTCTAAGAAAACGTGACTAGAAATAAGAATCAACTAAATTGCTAAAACCAAGTTAAAACGATAATGGTATATAAAAGTAGCAATTAAAGCACAGGAATTTTATCAGTTTCTGGCATTTATTACCTTTGCATCCGTAATTCCTTAGGATCAAAGCCCATTAGTCCTTCTCCTGAAACTTCTCCATCTTCTCCAGCTTTTTTTTCTCGTCTAGCAATTCTTTTTTCTTCACGGCGATATTGTTTCATTAACTGTTTTTCTTGTTCTGACTGAATCGTGACTTGACAACCATAATTGGGTTTAACATTTTCTCCTAAAATTTTCTTACAATTTTCTACAAAGTAAGTGTAAGAAATATAATGCTTTAACATTCTCAGGCTTGAATTGACTTTAATGAAAACCATTTCTTAATTTTCCCACCAAAACATAAAATGATATAATAATCTGAAAAAATTTTAAGTTGATATGTTCAGTTGTATATTTCAAGGAGAGATTTTTTTTTTCACAATGTTTAAATGATACAACACAGTGTTTTAAGAAATTACATTTATTTTTCCCTCTGGCTATAGAGTTCAATGCTACCAACATTATAAATTCTCATATAAAACAGAATTAAAATTCCAATTTTATAATTTTGAAGTTATTTGTTTATATAGCTTCAATTACTGTAATAACTGTTGAATATTCATTAGTACTTGCTGTTAATAATAAAGTAAAAAATATCCTGTATATACTCTTCCTGTTGTTGTTGTTGTTGTTGTTGTTTTTAGGAGCTCTTGAGTCAAGTATGACTCACAGTTGACCCTATAAATAAAGATTCAAATCCAGTTTTATCCTGCACCATCCTCACACTTCCTGACACACAACAGCCCATCGCAGCAATCACCATATCAATCTCCCAGGCTAAGGGTTTCCTCTCCTTCGCTGAACTTCCACCTTTCCCAGAATCATGTCCCTCTGCAAAGAATAGCCCCTCCTAGCAACATGTCCAAAGTATGAGAGATGAAGCCTCATAATTCTTGCCTCCAGAGAGCACTCTGGCTGCACCTTCTCCAAGACTTGGCTTTTTGTTCTCTTGGTTGTCCATGGTAGGGTCAGTGCTCTTCTCCAACATCACAACTCAAAGGCGTCAATTCCTTTTCTGTCATTCTTATTTACTGTTCAGTTCTCAGATGCATAGCAAGTAACTGGAAATACTATGGCCTTATTCAGACGCATCTGAGTCCTCAAACTAACATCATTATTCCTCAATAATTTGAAAGGTCCTTAGTAGCAGATTTTCCCAGTGCAATGCTTATTTGTTTTTGTTAGGTACTTTCAAATTGAATTTATTCAGTGACTGAAGTAATCGGGGTGGGTGTGTCGGAGACAGTGAGATTGGCACAGGACAGAGTCAGGTTTAGGGCTGTTGTACATAGGGTCCCTATGAGTCGCAGGTGACTCGACGGCACGTAACAACAGTGTTCCACTCACTAAAATAGAGAAACAAATATACATACAAAGAGTGAAGTGTACTGTCATCTTTGAGTGGGCACCACCATTGCCTATTTCCTTCTCTAGTCAAAATTCAATGGACAGAACATCTAGTTGCTATGCAATGTGTATGCTGTCCTTGTTTCTGTTAGTTATGCCTGAATCATTTTGTACTGTTTAAAAGTCCTGTTCAAAATTCAAGATTTAGAAGATACAATGTAAATATGTTATTTGGTCAATTAAATATTTCAAGAGCCCCTTTCTTCCAACAAGACTTTCTATGGTAATCAGTATGTTGGCTCATTGAAGCCCTATTGTTAGGTCCCATTAAGACAGTTCCAAATCACAGAAACTCCATTTGTGCTGAGTAGAACTATTCCATAGCATTACTCAAGACTATGATCTTTCAGAAGTAGATCACCAGCCCTTACTTCTGAAGTATTTGTAAGTTGGTTTGAAAAGCCAACCTTCCAGTTAGTAAGTCTAGAACATAAGCATTTGTGCCACCTAGGGACTTCTCACTGCGGCCCTTAAGGAACTAAAATGAATGCTGTTCAGAGCAAGCTAAATTAATAAGCACTGCTCTATTCAGAAACAGCTAGCTGCTAAGCTCTGCTGCTGGTTAGAAGACAATGAAGAGTGAGACTTACTCCATGCTTTGAAGGAGTATAGTTTAAGTTATTCTACCAAATTCCAAGATCAAATATGGAATAGAGCAAGACTTATGCCAGCATCAAGATGGGAAAATTAGCTTTCTAATTCATTCTAAGTCAGATCTTTATAATTCTCACTTTCATCATTACTTCATTATGATTTGAATAAGTCATTCCACTCTCAATCACATGAAATAACTCCCCTGCATAATGACTTTATCATTCCTAAAAATGAGAAATAAAGATCTCAAAAATACAAAATATAATCTCATCTATATTAGAACTATATTGTGTAGTTCTGTGAAGTGTTTCTGAATAAATTTTAATATACCTATCATATGCTGCAATGATTAAAGTTATAGTTAACTTTCAGTGCTAAATAAATAATGCAGGATGCCAATAGTACGCACTTATGTTATAAATAAAAGAAAAACGAAATTGTTTCCAAAGACATACAATTAGAAAAAGACATGCACAATAGAATTGTTTAAAAAACACAAACAACAGTATGTCCTTATTACACAATTAATGAATAATGGCATGTACTATTTACATAAGCCATAATTGTTAAATATTTCACGGGAAAAATCAGAAACACTTTGTGCATGGAATACAAAACGCTATGCTAATATCATTACATTTTAATCAAATGTGATGGTTGTTGTGCCATCAAGTTGGAACTGACCCAAAGCTGACCCTCCACATAATTTTCTGAGGCATAAATCACCTGGGAGAAGATTGCCCATCCCCCTCCTGTTGAGCAGCTGGTGGATTCAAAGCACATGGCTTTGGGAGCCACCAGAGCTCCCTAAATAAATGTGATAGTAACAAAATATTATTATCTAGACTTGTGATCATTTAAGTAAGAAAATTAAAATGAAAAGAAGAAAATGTCTGTCTCACTAATAACCTGGTAAGGCCTCAAATATAATTTATTAGAATGCTGCAGGCTGAATATAATAATTTTTTAAAAGTCCAGTTGTAAAGCAATAAATGCTAAAATGTAGAATTCTTCTTGATGGTTCTGGCTAAATTATCAAGATGAAAAAAGTGAGAAGGAAAACTTTTTAGGGCACTGCTAGCATAAATCTTACTGATGAACAAGGTAGATGCTTGTATTCTTTTAAAATGTGACTATGATGGATGAAAAAGGGTCTTGTGTAACAGAAAAAACACTTTCACTAAATATTACATTGTTATTGTATGCCACTGAATTGGAATCAACTAATAGCTAACCCTCCAATAAGTTTTCAGAAGCTGCAAATCACACAAGAGGAGACTGCCCATTTTTCTCAAATGGAGTGGCTGGTAGATTCAAATGGCTGGCTTTTGAGTTGGCAGAACAATACCCTACCACTAAGCCAAATGTTCTTTTGATTTTATGTTACATTCTTACCAAACATTTTCAGAATCAGCCCAAATACAATCCGATATACACTCCTCAACTGAGGTCAGTGAAATAAACTTTTTCATTTCTCACCTACTTTGTATTTCCTAGTTATATAAATGGAGGTTAAGTGTAGAGTGTATATATATACATATTTTTTTTTTCATTTAAAAACCAAGAATATGAGTTTGAAAACTGAACTGAAATGACTGCCATTTTGCACCACATAACATGGGGTTTCTTAGGCTATAATCTTAACAGGAGGAAATTGTCCATCTTTCTCCAAAAGAACCACTGTTGTGTTTCTTAGAGTCAGAACTGACCCACAGCTGACCTTCTAATGAAGAAGAGATTACCCATCCTTCTGTGGAGCAGCTAGTACCCTCAAACCATAAGAATTAAGGATTGCAGTGCAGCTTCTTGCCAAAAGGCCACCAGAACTTCCTACAGAATCCACTAGTACATTTTAACTGTTAGATGCCTTTCAGATAGCAGAACAACTTGCTATGAACTATACTACCAGAGGTCCCTATAAAAAAAAATAAAAAGAAGCCATTGCTAACCAGACAATGAACTATTTTTTAAAAAAAGATAATGTCACAAAATCTGGTGAACAAACTACCTGACCAACTGACTAGAAGAGATCTATATCTGTTCCCATTCCAGTGAAAGGTGATCCAACAGAGTGTGGAAATTATCAAACAATATCATGACTATCACATGCAAGCAAGATTCTGCTGAAGGTTATCCAAAAACGACTGGAACAGCACATCAACAGAGAACTGCCAGAAGTCCAGGCTGGGTTTAGAAGGGGTTGTGGTATTAGGGAAATTGTAGTTAATGGTAGATGGATCTTGGCTGAAAGCAGGGAGTACCAGAGGAATGTCCATCTGTGTTTCATTGACTATGCAGAGGCATTTGACTGTGTGGACCACAACAAACTGTGGCCATCTCTGAGAAGAATGGGAATCCCAGAACACTTGATCATGCTTATGGGAAACCTATACTTGGACCAGGAGGAAGTCATTGGAACAGAGCAAGCAAACACTGCAGCATGATTTAAAACTGGGAAGGGTGTATACCAGGGATGTGACCTATCTCCATACCTTTTCAATCTATATGCAGAACAGATCATCCAGGAGGCTGGGCTCTATGAAGAGAAGGGTGGCATCAGGATTGGAGGAAGAGCAATGATGTCAGTATGGAGTCTAAGGTGCACCTGATACAGGCCATGTTCTTTGCAATCACTTGTTATGCATTAGAGAGCTGGACTATGACTAGGGATGATAGAAGGAGAATTGATGCCTTTTAGCTGTAGTGTTGGAGAAAGAGTATTGAATATACCCTGGACTGCTAAGAGAATGAATAGGTTTGTCCTGGAGAGGGTTAAATCAGGCTGCTCCTTGGAGGCAAGGATTCTGAAGTTCTGTCTGACATACTCTGGACATGATGCAAGGAAGGGCCAGTCCTTGGAGAAGTAAATAATGTTTGGGAAGGTGGAGGGACAGTACAGGAGAGGAAGGCCCTCAATTAAACAGATTGATTCAGTGACTGGGGTAATGAGAGTAGGTGTGTCAGAGACAGTAAGATTGGCACAGGATAGAGCAGGGTTTAGGGCTCTTGTACACAGGTTTGTTAGGAGTTACAGGTGACTCAAGGGCACATAACAACAACAACAAAACAACAACAATGTGTAATTAATAATGTAATACTAGTTTGACAAAAAAATGCATACAATTTGGTAGCTATAAGAAGATTTTGTAGGCTAATTTAAACACAAAATTTGTTATTAACACAAAACCCAGCCGTGGCTGAGAAAAA